TAACATCATCACTGAGGATTGTCCTCAAATACATGTGCTATTAAATATGTTATTGAGGACATTTTGGTGTCCTCAAAAATGGCGATGTATCGTTATAATTACTAACGAGGACAGTCCTCGAAAACATCAATATATAGATACACGAACGAGGACGGTCCTCAATAAATACAAATGTCCTCAAAAAATGTGTTTTTTCATAAAAAATGTCCTCGAAAACATCAGTTAATATATATATATATATGTATACCATATATATATTTTATTTTTTAATACATTAAAAAAATTTTTATTACTTTAAATGAAGCTGGGTAACGGTGCCTCTTTTTATATGTACAAGACACTTTACTGACGCCGTATGGCCGCACATGCGCAAACAAACCGGTCCCTAATCGGAACACTGCCTGGAAGAGGCGTCCAGCACGCAGAGCCAAGGACAGTGATACAAGCACTCCACGCCACCGGTGCTTACAGCATCGTCGCGGGGGCATCGGCGAAGAGCGTTTCAGGTACACCGATCGGCAGCGAACAGATCGTTTGCTGGACATTTTTGCGCAGTAACGCCATTTTGAAATCGTTTGTGTCCCGCCATCGCGTAGTAAAGAAAGTGCAGTCATACGGCATTAAGGCTCGTCCGCAGTCAGCGCGCACTCGCCTCATACGAACGCGGCTTAAGTAAGAATCGACACAGTGTTAACATCCGCGTGCGTGCGCCACTGTTACGGTGTTAAAATTAAGGTAACATGGAACCTCCTACGGTAGAGCAGTTGCAAGAGCAACTAGTTAATTTACAGACGGAATTGCAAAGAGTGCAAGGCCAGGCCAGGGCAAACGTCGCGCATGTAGATTCATACCGGGTTCCGAAAATTCCGCCATTTCTCATTAGCGATCCTATGATATGGTTCATTCAAGTCGAAGCGACTTTCGCAACCGCGCGCATAACGGATGAAAAAACAAAAGCACATTATGTAATTATGTCATTGGATGCGGAAGCGATAGCGTGTTGCCGTGATCTCATTACAGAACCCGACCCGGCCGAACCATACACGAAGTTCAAGGAGAGAATAATCGAGAATTTTTCAGCATTGGCCGAGAGCCAACTTCATAAATTACTAAAAGGACAAGTTTTGGCATCCGGGAAACCCTCGCAAATTCTCAGTAGATTACGCAATCTAGATCTCAATAAACGCTGCGATGACTCAGTTTTAAAAGCAATCTTTTTCGAATATCTACCGCAGCAGACTAGAAGCATCCTCGCGACTTCAGAGATTACGGACTTAAACAAGCTTGCTAAAATGGTCGACAAGGTAGCCGAGACAGTAGATGATTCTTCGAGATGCTTAGCCGTCGCCACCACTAAAAAATCGCATTCCTCTGACCTTGAGAGCAAAATCGACCGCCTCGCTACAGAGCTCGCAGCTCTCTCGACCCAGGTTAAACGATCAAGTAGATCGCGAGATAGAGAATCACCGGACAGGAGCCGTAAGCGCTCTAAGAATAGGCGTCCGAATGTGTGTTGGTCGCATCGAACTTTCGGCGATAAGGCGCGAGCATGCAGAGGCACCGATAAGTCTCTCTGTTCGTGGCCTAAAACCAATGCCAGCTCAGGGGGGGGGTAGAGCAATCTGCTACCAAGGAGGCGAGTATAGCAGGTCGACAATCAAGCGTTCGTCTCCACGTTCGTGATCGCGTCACGGCGGAAACGTTTCTCGTTGACACCGGTGCGGACATTTCATTACTGCCAATAGGCAACGCAGCAAACAAGTCACCCAGTAATCTAAAACTCTACGCGGCAAATGACACGCAAATTAATACTTACGGTGAATCATTCCGAACGCTGCACCTCGGCATTCGTCCACTTACGTGGAATTTTTGCGTAGCGTCAGTTCCGTACCCAATCATCGGGGCCGATCTGATCAAACATTATGGTCTCTTACCCGATCTTAAAAATCAGAGACTTATCGATCCACAATTTAACACCTTCGCCGCAGGAACCGTCAAACCAGTTCCAGTATTCGCTGTTAGCATAATCAAACCTGTCACAAAATTCGCGCATATTTTAACCAAATTCCCAGAAATCACAGGTCTTGAACAAACGGTCCCGATTGGTAAAAGCGATGTGTATCATCACATCAGCACAACAGGCCCACCGGTAGCAGAGCGTCCCAGAAGATTAGCGCTCGACAAACTAAAAGCGGCCAAAGCCGAATTTAAGCGATTAGTTGAACTCGGTATTTGCAGGCCATCCAGCAGTCCGTGGGCGAGTCCAATCCACATGGTTCCTAAAAAAGATGGATCGTGGAGAATTTGCGGCGATTATCGTCGACTAAACGCGGTAACGATTCCAGACAAGTTTTCCCGTACCACACGTACACGATTGCGCTTCCAACCTTCGTGGAAAAACTATCTTCTCTAAGCTTGATCTTCATCAAGCTTACCATCAAATTCTAGTTGCGCCCGAAGATATCTTTAAAACGGCTGTCATTACGCCATTCGGACTCTTTGAGTATAAATTCATGACCTTTGGCCTCAGAATGCCAGTCAAACCTTTCAACGACAGATTTTTCGCGCACTGGGCGATCTAGAATTTGTGTTCGCGTTTATCGACGACATTCTCATCGCGTCGACAACATTAAAAGAGCACGAAAGACATCTACGTACAGTATTTCAGCGACTGAAGGAATTTTATTTATGCCTCAATATCGACAAGTGTCTTTTTGGCAAATCGGAACTGCAATTCCTCGGTCATACAATTAATAGCGAAGGATGCCAATCTGATTCTGACAAGATCAAAGCCATTTCCGCATTTCCCCGACCGCGTACAGTCATTGAATTGCGCTGTTTCTTGGGTCTCGTTAATTTCTATCGTAAAAGTCTGCGTGAGGCAGCCAGCGTGCAAGCACCACTCAACGAATATCTCCACGAGTCGCGCAAAAACGATAAACGTGTTATCACATGGACACCAATCGCCGAAGAGGCATTCCAAAGATGCAAAAAAGATCTCGCCAAGGCGACCATGCTTTCCCATCCAGATGACACGGCTGAAACACGCCTAGTCACTGATGCTTCTGATTTTGCTATGGGAACAGCTCTCGAACAGTATCTCGATAATGCCTGGAAACCCCTCGCGTTCTTTTCACGCAAATTTAGCCCGTCACAACGCAATTACAGCGCTTATGATCGGGAACTAACCGCGCTTTAATATGGTAGCGATAAAATATTTTCGATATTTTCTGGATGGCCGCAGCTTTAAAATCATGACGGATCATAAATCGCTTATTTATGCGTGCATGCAGCGCTCTGAGAAAGCTTCGCTTCGTCAGCAAAGGCAACTCTCATTCATCTCGCAATTCACAACATGTATCGCACATCTTTCGGGAAACGAGAATGTGGTAGCCGACTCACTGTCCCGCGCCGAAACCATCCGTTTGCCCGTAGAAATCGAGTTAAATGAACTTGCAGAACAGCAAGAGCGCGACGACGAACTTCAAACCATACGTGAAACTCCAAATTATCCACTTACTTTAAAATGCATCCAATGGGGCCCTACGCACACCACCCTTCATTGCGAAATAACCGGAGAGACAATCCGTCCTTACATTCCCGTATCCTTACGCGAACGCGTTTTTCACATGTTTCACAACGCGGCTCATCCGAGTGCTAAAGTTACAGATCGTGTTATACGCCAACGCTACGTATGGCCTAACATGCATCGTGACATCGCAAAATGGTGCAAAAAGTGGTTAGATTGTCAACAATCGAAAATCTCGCGTCACGTTCAACTCAATCCTGAACAATTTGTCACGCCAGACGGCTGCTTTGAACATGTCCATATGGACATCATAGGTCCGCTACCAATCTCAAACGGCTACAAATATTGCTTAACTCTCATCGATCGATTTTCGCGTTGGCCCGTAGCAATTCCGTTGAAAGAAATCGACGCCATATCAGTCGCGCGAGCGTTTTACGATAATTGGATCACAAATTTCGGAGCTCCAAAAACCTTAACTATCGATCAAGGGAGCCAATTTGAATCGCAACTCTTCACAGCACTTCTCCAGCTTATTGGCTGTCAGCGAATTCGCACTACTGCCTACCACCCTGCCTTTAATGGCATGATCGAACGATGGCATCGAAGCCTTAAAGCCGCAATAATGTGTCACACGGACGCAGATTGGTCACGAATGCTTTCGACTGTATTATTAGGTCTACGCACTCAAGTCCGTCTTGATACTGGCGCATCCCCGGCGGAATACATTTACGGGACAACCCTACGTGTTCCGGGGGAATTTGTTCTTCCCGTCGATTTCACCCCTGACCCTCATGTATTCATTGAAGAATTTCGCAAACATATGCGCAAAGTAAAACCTGTACCAGTACAGCACAAACACAAAAAGCGTGCATTCTTTTTGAAAAACATGCACACGTGTACGCATGTATTCCTGCGTGTAGGAGGTACAAAAAAATTGCTTGAACGCCCCCACACTGGTTCGCATCGTGTCATTGAGCGCGTTTCCGACCGCATTTTTGATATAGATGTAAACGGCACCAAACGAAGTGTATCCGTAGAAAATTTAAAACCAGCATACTTTGTACCTGATAACTTCAGTGATCTATTAGCGGATAAAACCTCAGCGTCTACTCCGTCCAAAGATACTCATGCAACGTTAAAAACCTATGCGCGACCAAAAAAAGTCACTTTTGCTTTATAACATTAAACCAAAGAAAATTCTTAGTATTTAAGTATGTCATTACTATAAGTCAGTTATAAGGCTATTTCGTTAAAAATTTATGTAAACCTAGTATTAAGAAAAACATATGTAACCATAGCTATAAAAATATCAAACACGTATTAACATAATTTTTGTAAAACTCGTTGACACTCGAGGGAGAGTATGTGGGGAATTTATATCCGCCATATTGGTACGCTTGAAGCGCAGCTCTACCAAGCGAGCAAGCATACAATCACCAACACTGTGATCTTGACTCTCGTCTTGTACAATCAACAAAATAAATAAGTTGTTCTTAACCATGAGTGATTCGATCTCTATCTCGACACGTCTATAGTAAGTGGGACACGGAATTTAGTCACTAGTCCCCACAAAGCTTTCTCGCGATCAAGCATCGATCGAAGCGGTATAAAAGAGCTTCTCCGCAGATTTTTTTCACTCACTCGCTTCAAGGCGAGCTCTTACTAAGGGCCCTTAAACGGAGTCACAGCTCTGCTTCGAAGAGCGCAACCAGCAAGTCTTTTCGACTTTTCACAGTGCCTGGGAAGGCACGAAAG